CCATGGTGGTCCCTTATTATTCTTCGAGGACATTATCCCAGAAGTGGGTGGTCCTTCCGGGACGGGAGGTCCTTCGAAAAATTCTGCTATGAAGTCCGCCAATACTTAACCCTTTATAGTAGTTCGAGGTTTGAAGTGGATGTCATGTTTTCCCAACTCCACTGCCCACTTGGAAATCCTTCCTAAGAGATCTGATTTTCTCAAAACGACCTTTAAGGGCTGATCGGTAAGGACAGTAATTGGGTGTGCCTGGAAATAATGCCTTAGTTTTCTTACAGTCGTGACCAAGGATAGAGCGAGTTTCTCCAGGGATAGGTATCTTGTTTCTGCGTCCAGTAACGCTTTGCTCACGTAATATACTGGTTTCTGGTGGTGTTCATGGTCACGAATGAGTACCCCACTGACGGCAAATTCCAATACAGATAAATACAGGAAGAGCATTTTCCCTTTAGTAGGGACAGATAGGGTTGGGGGAACCTTGAGATATTCTTTGATTCTTGTCAGGGCGTCTTAACACTCCTGGCTCCACGTATCCTTCCCGGCCCTCTTGATGGCCCCAAAGAAGGGTTTACATTTGTCCGAGGAACGCGAGATAAAACGATTAAGTGCTGCCAACATCCCTGTGAGCTTCTGGACTTCTCGGACCGTTCGGGGACTTCGGATGTCCAGGATCGCTTGAATTTGATCCGGGTTAGCTTCGACTCCTCGTCGACTCACCAGATATCTGAGGAATTTAGCTGACTCTACTCCGAAAACACACTTCGCCGTGTTTAGCTTTGGCCCATACTCCCTAAGGGTGGAGAAGGTATCGGCCAAATCCACCAGGTGGTCACAACTTTTTCTACTTTTAACTAATATATGATCGATGTAGACTTCCATGGTATTGCCGATCTGTCTTTTGAACATCTGATTCATCAGCCTCTGGTACGTAGCTCCGGTGTTCTTCAGCCCAAATGGCATGATTTGTAGCAGTAAACCCCCCTCGGAGTGATAAATGCTGTCTTTTCTTGATCTGAGGGGTGGAGAGGGATTTGATGATATCTTGCTCTGGCGTCCAGGAAGCCCATGTGCTGATACCCGGCAGTGGCATCCACCAACTGGTCCACCTTTGGTAGGAGGTAGTCGTCCTTGGGACATGCCTTGTTCAAATCAGTAAAGTCTACGCAGACACGCCATTTTCCCCCCTTTTTCTTCGCACAGACCGTGTTTGATAACCATTATGGGAACTGCATCTCCCGGATGGTATTGGCCTCCAAGAGTTTATCGACTTCCCCGTTCACCGCGCGGGTGTGATGTAGTGCCATGCGTCGTGACTTTTGCTTTATTGGTTTGCATGACAGGTCAACATGTAGCTTATGCGTGATTATTTTGGGGTCCACCCCTTTCATTTCTATTGCGTTCCAAGCGAGCACGTCTGCATTTTGCCTTAAAAAGTCAATCATCTCTACTTGTTCAGTCGTAGGCATTACGGAGTCAATCAAGAAGTATCTCTCCTCTTCACCATCTACTAAGAACACCTTCCGGAGGTCCTCTACCGATCGGTCCGTCGGGTCAATGTAGGGGTCATCCACTCCTGGACGCCCGGACTGTGATTGCTATTTTTTCAGGATTTCCTCCGGGGCACGTCCCATCTCTTGGGTGAAAACCCCCGCTCTCACAGCCGAGTAAAAATAGTTTTTTGCGGACACTTGGTCCTCTCGGATCTCCATTATCCCCTCTGGTGTAGCAAACTTTAATTTTTGGTGGTAAGTGGAGTGCACCGCCCCCAGCGCATGCAACCAAGCTCGCCCCATGATCACATTGTAGGGGGAGTCTGTATCGATCACAACAAACTCAGTGTTGATGGTGAAGGGACCCGTGACGACGGGCAATGTAATTTTGCTAATGGGCAGGGCAAATAAGCCGTTAAATCCGACAAGGGGCGTCCTAACCTTGGTGAGGTCCCTGAGGCCAAAGTCCATCCACTTTAAGGTTTTGGAGTACATTATCTCCGAGGAACTCCCGGAATCTACCAACACCCTCTTGACGTCGAACTTGCTTATCTTCAGAGTTATGATTAGGGCGCTGTTATAGAAGGTCACCACGCCTGCCAAGTCTACGTCGGAGAACGTGATACTCGGCTCGCCAGTCTTGGCTCTCTTGCTGGGTGGGCCCCCATTGCTCTTAGCAACCTTTCTCGTAAAGGCTACCCTTTTGAGATTAGACTCAAGCTCTCTGGATGTCGGACGATCCAATGGACACACGTCTATGACGTTGTCTTGTGCCACGGTCGGGGCAAAAGCATGTCCCTCTTTTGACTTGGGTTCGATGTACTTTTTCAAGTAACCGTCCTGGACTAGCCTTTCCAAGAAAGATTTGTACACTCTGCAATCTTCGGTGCGATGGCCGAAATCCCGGTGATAGGAGCACCTGACTTTTCGTTCACGAGTGGAAGGATCACTCTGCATCCTAGGCGGCCACTTGAAGAATGACTCATGCTTGATTTTATAGAGCAACTTGTAGATAGGTTCTTTGAACACAGTGTGGACACCTTTAAATGACCCCCTGGAGGGGGTACCAGCCCCTTTCGAGAGGTGTCCTCCCTCTCCTTCTCTTTTCCCCTAGGGGCGAGAGTTTTGCCTTTGCCGCCCCCCATTTCATCTTCAATCCTGGAGTATTTGTTTATCCGGGTCATCAATTCGCCCATATCTAAGGGAGTTTTCTTAGTCAGGGATCGGTACAGGTCCGTGTCCCTTGCCAGACCGAGCCTAAAGGATGCGGCTGCCATGACTTCCAAACACCCCTCTATCTCATTGACCTCCTCCCAGTACCATATGGCGTACTGGCGAAGGATTTCCAGTTCCTTCCGCTTGAGCGTCAGTAATGATCCAATATCTTTGGACCGCTTACTCTCTGCAATGAATCGGGCTAAAAATTGTCTCGTCAACTCCTTGCATGACCCAATGCTATTAGGAGGAAGAGTCTCGAACCACTTCATAGCGGAATCTCCCAAACTCATGGAGAACACTCGGCAGAGGAGCTGTTGGTCCGAGTGATATAGGGATATCATTTGCTTGTATTGTCTGAGGTGAGCTTCGGGATCAAATCGTCCATCATAAGTTTTGAACTTTGGCACGACGAACTTCTTTGGTACCTCTATCTCTCGGATATCCCCAGTAAAAAGGGATTGCATGGCCTCGTTTTCTGCGTCGTCCTGGACAGCCTTGCCCCTTCTTCTGGATTCCAGCCGAGCTCTGAGATCAGTTTTCACCTCAGAGGGAGGTCCTATGAGGTTTCTAAGGTCATTGACGGGATTCCCCTTCTTCGGGCGTCGTGTGGAAAGAGTTGAATCTTCCTCGGACTCATCCCCCTTCCCTCGCCTGGACAGTCCTCGTCGAAAGTCGTCCCAAGCCAAAGGCCTTGCTTTCTTGGAATGACCATCGAGGGGGTGCTCATTGGCTCTCGGGCGCTTTGGGACCCTAGAACTCTTAGCTTTGTTGTTTAAATGATTTCTCAAGTCCTCGATTTCTGCTTCCCGGACGGAGCGTCCGCGGGAACGGAATGAGTCCCTTGATCCTTCGCCGGGGGCTGCAAATTCGTTGAACCGGCTTAGGACATTCACATTATCTTTTTCTAACTGTCGTAGTCGATCCTCAAACTTTTCTTCGATCATTTCCTCCAGTTGACGAGCCAAGGGGGCGAATTCTCCTGACCTAATGCCCATACTGGTTTGAGGAGCATGCCCCCTTGATTGAATAGAAACGTTCCTGTTGTCACCAGCGTGATCCCCCCCCCACTATGATGAGGAGCTTGTAACTCGAGACTTCTTTGCTGGGGACCTTTCCCTTTCTGTCGAGTATTCACCATGGTCATTGTTCTTCCTAGAAAAGAAATTAGGAAAACTAGTCGTTTTTCACAGACGGCGCCAGATTGTGCGTGCACGTTCTTACACAATATAAACACAAGAACAGATCTCTTCCGTGGTGAACACGAGTCTGTCGATCGAGTGGTCAATCTTGCTACTTGGAATAGGTTGTGAGGGCCGAAGGTGGCCTATGAATTGATGATGGATTGTTTTTATGGGTCGCCTGATTGGTCCTGGGAGGCTAAGAGAGGTTTCTGGAATAGAGAAAAACAGGTTAGAAGGGCGTCGGAGTGTTTTTCAACGTATCCTCTCCGACGATCAAGTCAGTTCTTTGAGAGAGGAGAAGAAAAAAACATTATATGATCTTTGAGAAAGGGTTTTTGCATAGCTTTTTAATCTGTTTATGAGGACTATTTATACCTTACAAAACTCATCATTGCTGACAGCGTAGCTAGTAGGTAATCATTAGAGGTGGGCAGTGTGCACACTAATTTTTATGAGAAATGTTCTCATTCTTAACTGCTCGGAACCCCGAATAACTAATGCCTTCTCCTCGGTCTGCCGAGCGTTTAATGACCTTCTTTCGACAGGGATGTATTAAATGCCCAGGCATAGGAACATTTATTACCTTTCCCTTCCAGGCTCTTATACATTAAATGCCTGACTTCCCAAGCCGTGTGCCAGCAAGGACATTCTGGTCTTTTCGTCTCTGACCTGACACAATATGCCATGTGCTCATTCCCCTTTGGTTGAGCCTTCTGCTTCCTGACACCATTTGAGTAGCACGATGTTATGATGGCTAGTCTAGCCTAGCCTAGGCTAGTAACCTGTCAATCAATAGCCCCTGTAGGAGTAGAAACGCTCACGTGGGCAGATACACCTCGGTGCCGAGGGACTAGCATGATTAGGGACCGATATCCCAAACTGACCGAGGAATACGTGTCGGTCCCTGGCATATTGGGGATCCTTGATCCCTGCGGATAGTACCCTCGGAGAAGAGAGTTATAGACCGACGAAGACATGTCGGGATCACAACAGAGAGTCACCATAACATGGCCGAGTACACATGTCGTCATCTTGGTGTGTCTGGAAATGTCCCATCACTGTGCTTTAGCGTTATTCAGAGTAAGAAATATAATAAAATATAAGATATTTTATGTGTGTGCCTTGTGCATTTTTATTGTCACGACTTTGTTAACTTTATTCATAAGATTCAGGAGTAACATTGAGTCTTTCATATCACAATTTAGTATTTCGATGTTCATTCATTATGTGTCAATATGAGCATCAAAAGGATTTTTTTTTTTGGGTTATGTTCCAATAGGAATTGCAAAATTCCATGCTATAGTATGCACATCTTACCCTATATGCTTGTTACGATTTTGTGTTTGCTATTGATCTTCTCTAATGGTGTCATTGGATTCCGTTGTTATGGAAAAAAAACACTAACAAGATATTCTCTCTGTCTGTCTTCCTCTCTCACACATATTTTTTGGGTTTGTTGTTACAGGTAAGAGCAGTGAAAGTCAACAATGTCTCCTTAGGTGCTTCTGAGCAAGACATCAAGGAGTTCTTCTCATTTTCTGGGGATATTGAATATGTTGAAATGCAAAGGTTAGTTATTTCAAGTAATTAAAGTTCCCTATGTCTTTTGTTAATGATTGATTTCCACTTGCTGGTGTGTATGTACGAGAACTGTTTATCTGGAGACTGGAGTTATGCAACAATTGTTCTAAAGCATAGTACTTGTAAAAGTTCTCATGTGGATTAATTTAATTTCTTCTTTATTTTATTTTTCTAGTGAGAATGAACGAGCTCAAACTGCATATGTCACTTTCAAGGATTCTCAGGGTGCCGAGCCTGCTGTTCTTCTTTCGGTACATTTACTTCTGACTCATATTATATTTCTTGTATTATAATGTTTATTCATTTTCCATGCTATCAAGTTTGTATTCCAATATCTGGGTAGCCATTGTCTTTGATTGTCTGTTGCTTCCGTTCAATATGAATTTAGTTTCTTGTTCTTGCTTGTAGTTGTTCTTTTTTTTATCCTTTTTGTGCTACTTTAATTGCTTTTTATATATGATAAACCCGTTTGGTGTTTTCCAGGGGGCCACTATAGTTGATCAGTCTGTTACCATATCTCTTGCACCAGATTACAAGCTGCCACCTACTGCTTCGGCACCACCTACAGTAAAATATTATTAGCCATCTTTAGTTTTCACCACTGCTTGATCATTTCGAACAAGACCCTTTTCTCCATCTTTTCAGGCAACGGAGAGCAAAAATGCAGGTGGTGCTGGATCTGCTGTCCAAAAGGCAGAGGACATGGTCAGTAGCATGTTGGCCAAGGGCTTCATCTTGGGCAAAGATGCCCTTAACAAAGCAAAGGCCTTTGATGAGAAGCACCGGTTCACTTCAACTGCCTCGGCCAAAGTTGTTTCTTTGGACCAAAAGATTGGGTTTAGTGAGAAAATCAGCATGGGTGCAACGATTGTGAATGACAAAGTGAAAGAAGTGGACCAGAAGTTTCTGGTCTCCGAGAAGACGAAATCAGCTTTTTCTGCTGCTGAGCAGACAGTTAGTAATGCTGGATCTGCCATTATGAAGAATCGCTATGTGTTGACTGGGACTACATGGGTTACTGGTGCTTTTAATAAGGTCACCAAGGCTGCAGGGGAGGTGGGGCAGAAGACAAAGGAAAAAATGGCTGAGGAAGAAGCGGGAAGAAATGTGGCTGATGGTTATACTAAAATTCGCGAGTCTGAATCCCCCAAAGCTGCTACAAGCGGGCAACCTTCCAAGCCAGCACCTGCTCAGGGATTGATCCTTTGAAGAATCTCTGAATCTTGTGTAGATATATCCCTATGTTTTAATCTTGCTATCTCCAAGATCAACTTCCCTTTCTCCTAGTTTGGTAGTAGTAAATGTTGTAATGGTTGTCATATAACGGTGCATTATGTGTGCCGTGCATGAAACCTTTTTTATTTGGTTAGGGGTTTAACACCGATGGTATTACATTTGCATTTGTTGATCTATTTATGTATAGTTCATGACTGAAATCACATGGATGACTCCATTGGTGTATGCTGTTTAGGCCGATGTCAGACAGGCTTCATAGAGTTTCAAGTGGCTTTTCAGTGTCATGTGCTAAGCTTAGAGTTGGTTTAGGTTTATACACTCAGGTGCTGTTGAGCGGTGAAGTGGGGATGAGAGCTTGTGGGCATTGAACTTCCAGATCTTTGTCTGTGTTATGGGAAATTTAGCTGTAATTTTAGAAACCCATGAAGGCTAGCCTCGATGATAATTACCAACATGTTAATTTAGAAATAATGTCTTGAAGTATAACAATTTCTCTACTAATCCTTCATTTTTCTGTGACGAGAAAACCAAAATGTCGATGACAGTGATGGGTGTGGACGACTTCATCAGCCAAAAACTTGAGGAACTGAGCAAAAGCTTAGGGTAAAGTAGGTTGATAAATCCACATTATAGTTGGGCCAGAATATGTTCGTCAATAGTTGTCTATTCAGTTTTTCAACCGAGGAGGTTATGAATGACATTTCCCGATTTCAAATTTTGCCAATTTTGATCGAAACACTTAAGTCACTCCCAAATGATACAAGTTTATGATTATAAGATTTTAAATCACGTGTTTTCGTAATGTGGTCATTCATGTCACTCAAAATAAAGAATGTTATTTAGACTTAATTTACCGATTTAATTAAATCTCATGCCATCTATAATTCAACATTGTTATTGAATGTGTAACTGTTAACAATTTAGATGAATTAAGATAATAAATTAAGTGTGAATAATATTATTAGTCTTCTATTCATGGGTGAAGACCTTTCTTTTGATTCTTCTTTGGTCTCTCTAATGTGTTAGAAAGACTACAATTGATTGTGAAAATATTAAGGAACTTTCATATTCTTCACCGTTCTCACTCTTTCCTCCACCAAAAATCTCATATTTCTCACAAAAAAACCTCTCTTTCTCTCTCTCACTCTCTCATTTGGTTCTTTTTTCTCGCTCTTCAATTTCCACCATCTAAAATGAAGCTGTTGATATTTATCCCTCAAACTATATAATATTGTTCACATTGCCTCGACACGTCGACAATTTTCGTCCAAAAAGATAGAGAACGTTTGCGATTGAGGCAATGTAAAATAATTTAGATAATTGAAAGGACAATATGAAAAATTCAATAATTCAAGTGACAAAATAGTTTAGAGGATCAAAATATAATTTACCCAAATAATGACCATAAAAAAATGCATTCACCCAGCTATAATCCTAATTTGACCCAATGAAGGTCCTAATGACCCTGTAACAAGGGAAATCCAAGCAAAGCAATCACAAACTTCAATCAGGAGTGAAGTACAGGTCTTGGATTAAAACAGTAGTTGCAGCAGTGGGATCACCATGTCTAATTTGAATCTCCCTATCACGTGACCAGATAAAAGAGCCCAACCTTGAACTTGGCATAGACATTTATAACCCTAAACAAACCTGGGGACATGCAAACTGGCAAAATATTTTACTGATGCTACAGAACATGAAGTATTACTATGAATCATCTTTGCTGTCTTATGATGATGTACCCAGCACTGCAACATTGTTGCTCCAACCAGGAAAAAATGACATTCAAAACCTATTTGATCGGGTGACATATTTTGCAGGCAATCATTCACATAATCAAATGATTAGGTCACTCGCCAAGTTTTCTACAACACACATGCTCATTTTAATTCTCTCACGACTCCAATTGGAGGTGTAACCCCCAATATGGACCTAAATCAATATCTGTCCAATGGAACAAAGACACATGGCTGTAAAGGTTACATCCCTGGACTAAGTCACGGCATGGTGGTGTTGACGGTGGGAGTGGGAGGGGAAGGAAGCCTATGATGACTTGCAGAGGGCAAACCCCACATGAACTCAAAAGAATCTCCAAAACACGAGTAAATAAGCACGTAAAGAAAGAAATAATAGAAATAAATTATCCTCAAGGCATGAACTGAAAAAGAAATATTTAAAGGAAAATTATTCATCGCCCACAGTATTGGTCCAACTCTCATTGAAAAGGCAAAAAACCAAAACTTCCAGGTATAGAAATGATTTTCACATTCTGAAATGAAGTTATTCTTGAGAGGACTCATTTACCCTAAATAAATCAATTCTTTCCCCAATTCATTATCACGAATCCAGAAACATCCAAAAACTAGGATTTTCAAATGCATTATTCACAAGACAGGATTTACACAATACATATATCTGACCTCACAATATTGCATACGGCCAAATGTCATTCCATCAAAGTCAGCCCCTCCCAGCATTACCATGTCGCTGGTTTCTGAAATAGCTAAGGAGTGCCTGAGCCTGCATGCATCCAAAGATGCACAACATCAGTTCTAAACCCAACGCACATAACATATAACTGAAGAACAAACGAAAGAAAGAGAAAGCACAAAGTCATTAGCACTACTACACCTTTTCTTTGGCTCTCGGTGTGCCGGACTGTGACAATGCCACTAATGGTGGAACAGCTCCCTCCTGGAGAACCATATTGCAGAATCTATGGCTATTAGTGCAAAGCTGTAGGAGAGCAGCAGCTGCATTCTCCTTCCCTCTTGCAGAACCCAACTCGACAACCTCAACCAATACAGGGATCCCTCCCTCCTGACCAATGGCTGCCCTTCCCTCATTTATAGTAGCAAGATTCGACAAAACAGCAACTGCCTTATCAACCATCCCAGCAGCAGGGTCCATCAACTCTACGAGGTACTTCACAGCACCAGCCTGCACTATACGAGCCTTGTTCTCATGAAATATTGACAAGTTAAACAAAGCTGTAGCTGCATCTTTCTTTCCCCTAGGAGTTCCATTTCCAAGTAAATCTACCAGAGGTTGAATTGCCCCTGACCTCCCAATCCTGACCTTGTTATCCTCAATCACCGATAAGCTAAAAAGAGTGGCAGCAGAGTTCTCCTTAGCTTCAGGGCTCCCTGTCTCGAGGACATGAATAAGAGGTTCAATTGCATCAGCATTTGCAATTGCCGCCTTGTTGTTATCATTAATTGATAAGTTGAGAAGTGCAGTAACAGCATTCTCCTGTATTTTTGTGTCCGTTGATTGAAGAAGATTAACCAACAAGATGATGGCCCCACAATTTGCAATTACAATTCTGTTATCCATGTTATGCTTGGCAAGTAACCGGAGTTCACCAGTGGCAATTCTTTGTTCATCAAGGGAAGAGCTCTTCAAGTCCTCAACCAGCTTCCTGACTTGAGTTTCAACTCCAGAAAGATCAGCCCTTGTTTCAATGGCAGGAGAAGAAACTATCCTTGGAACAAACCTCTCGGATGGTCTACGCCAAATTGTTTGGCTACGAGATCTTGTTTCCAATCGAGATAGCAACTCGGGCACTCTCTGTGGAGCAGTCAAAGTAGTGATGGGTTGGGACTCTGATGTTACTTCCCCCGAAGCATCAGTAATGTAGGCTGCCGCCTGTGAGGACACCTCATTGCCATCCTCAGGTGTTCCTTGTGAAAAGTTTGAATCAGAAAGTGTGCTGGAAGCTGACATAGTACGATTGTGGCCCTGAGATGACTGTCCATCAGCCCCAGCATTATCAGAAAATTCGTTTCTTGACAGTGTCATAGAAAGTTGCTCACCTGAATCCAAACTTCTCTCTCCGGAGTTAGCCAACCTGTCCTCAGAAATTCTGAGTGATATTCTCTCAGTGTCCAATCCATGCCCATTTCCAGCTACTCCAGACAAGGAATCCACTGAAGATGAACGGGGGTGCAGTGGAGAGGTTCCCTCCCTATGGATTGCACTTGATGAGACTAAATTTTTTCCAGGAGAGCCTAGTGACCCAGCTAGCTCCGGTGATGTAGATTGGTTGCTCCTTAAGGAAGGAAAAACATGTAGATCTCTGGTAGCACCAGATTCTGCATGTGTAAGAAGGGAGGCAGGCTGGTTGAAGCTCAAAGACTTCATGGGTTCAGGCAGCTTCACATTATTTGATTCACACCAATTTGCAATTAGTGCCTTCACAGTGTAATTTGGAATAAGATTGGTGTGTGTCAGAGTCTGCCGTGTCTTGGGGCAAACAGTGAGTCCAAGATCAATCCATTTCCGGATAAAAGCCCGTTCATAGGTTTGCCCAGAAGAAACAATGACAGGGTCTGTCATGAGCTCAAGTGAGAGAGGACAGCAGAAATCAGCAGGTATGGGTACGGGGCAGCTCTGGGACTGTTTTACCATAACATGGTGGTCATGCATATTGGTAACTAGAGCTATCATTTGATCGAAATAATCAACTTCCCCATTCTTTTCAGCTTGTTCAGCATTCTCCTTCAATTTTTCAAGGGCTACAGCCTCAATTAGAAGCTCCTGGTTTGACTTTAAGCTCAGGTAATCTGCAATTTTAGCCAAGTCCTCTGAGCTTGCTCCGGAGCCTTCCACCTGATCCCTAGAAGCTTTTGTAATTACATCTGATGTTTGTTCAGATCCCATACGCTTAAGTTTCTGTATGCAGTGCTGAAATCAATTGTACCAACTATAAAAAATCAAAATGGGATACCTCATACATATGCTTATCCTAGAAGTAACAGAAAAGCTGCTTAATTTTCTGCATGCAGTGCTGCAAATAAATTGTGCCAAGCATAAAAAATACAATTGGACACTTCATACATATCTCCTATCCCAGAAATAACCAAAGAGATGGACTTCAATTTGGGCAGATCTTAAATTTGAATAATTTTGATCACCTCACATTGTGAGACATGGCTTTTCTTCTAAACAATTCTACTTCATGCTTACCAAATTAGACAAGAGGTACTCCATCTAGAACCAATCTACAAAGATAAAACATAGAAATGTTCTTTTTGGATTAAACATAAAAATATCTGATTTCTTGTTGCTACCTCAAGAGATGACGCACTTAATTCATCAGGAAGACTGTGATCAGAAGATTTCAGCAGCTCAAAAATCTCCAGGACAGAAATGCGAATTTTCTCAGTTAATGATTCTACTTGCAGAACCTAGACATCATGCAAACATGAGCTAGTCAGAATAAATTAAGCATAAAGTAAACGAGACTCCAAACACTAAGCATTGAATTCAACACAACTCCTCATACACATCCAACAATAAACACCCCAAAGGAGTACAAGGAAGCTTGTTCCCCTTTAGTTTAGAAACTAAAAAGCCTGAAAATCCAAAGCAGCTGCAGAGACTCTCTGTCCTTCCCCTCCCTTTTTCTTTTGAGTTGCTAGCCCACTTCAATTAACAGTATAAATATGTTTATCAGAACATGTACAAATTAAAATGAAAATATAGATCCTGACACATACAAAATAAACTTTACTCATTAACATATGCCAGCTTTCACATAGCTCCCTCATTTCATCAACAGCCTGGCCCAATCCAGCAAATGCCTTTTGAAAGGATTCATCAGAAGCTATTTCAGTATCAACAATGGCCTCAAGTGCTGGCTTTAACAACTTCAGCTTCTCTTCAATCTTCAGGTAATATTTGTGAACTGGTTCACATTTTATGTTGTCACGTGATGACAATTGAAAGAGACAAGAGATGTTGTTGAGAAGCACCTTTAGCAGTGATATCTCCATCACACCAGTATCAATAACAGATTGACTAATGGCCCTCTATAAAGTAAAGAAAGAACAATTATTTATCAGACTCTGAAATAAACACTTCAATTGAAATTGCAAACATGATGTAGAGGATATATGGCAAGTTTACCATACAAAATAATCAACCTAAACTATTGACAAAAAAAATTAGGTAAAAATAAAAAGGTCTAATACAGATAATCAAAAAGAATCATATTAAACCCATAGGTAAGCAAAAGTGAAATAATTCCATAAATTGATCAATTCCTAAAAAAAATGAAGTGTTGTAAATTTCTGCAAGGATACTGAAATCTGAACAGCCCAAGGATCAGAAGAGAACAAACCAAGATATTTTTTTAATTAGAAAAAATATAATTAACTATGTATTATACATGTAATATTACCATAGTGTTGGCGGACAAGCAATCCAACAAAATCATTACATAGAAAAGTGTAGAATGCATAAAAATCAAAGCTAAAAATAACAAGGCATTTGCGCATTCCATCCCACCAAAATACAAAAGACGGGAGCTTCTTGAAATTCTTTAGTGGCATGAAGGATCAAAAAGATGCTAGAAAATAATTTTGTAACAATAGCCCTTCAACCATCTCACTTCTATTGTCAAATATTCTCAAATTTCTTTTCAACCAAATAACCCCCCAAATGGCAAAGCATCCACAAGTCCATAGCGTGTTCCCCTTTTTTGTCCTTCTAAAACACCTGAAGGCCTCAAGAAACATCGAGGAGAAGGATCTAGGAGCCACCCAACTCAATCCGGTAACATTTTTTGCTAAATGTCTGATTTCTTACTCATTCAATCTTTCCAGTATTTTCACATTGTAACTCTTTCCCGTACTTTCACATTGTAACTCATAACTTGAGTCCAATATCAAGTTAGCCCTATTTAATCTCTCTAGATTGGTAACAATAATAGCTTGTGTTGAAGGTATCGAATGTTTGGCTTTCTTGAGAAGAAATTGGTGTCAAAGAAATTGATCCTTCTAAAGTATACCTTCCAACCCTGCAAATTTCATCAACTTGTTTTCAATCTTAGCAGAAGAATATTGCCTTATCAGCCTGAAGCACACTCAACTTCACATCAAAATTCAAGACAATTGACAAAACCCTTTGAATCTCTCTCCATGGATGAAAAAGACTTTCTCTAATGCAAATTATTGCATTTTTCCATCTATCTTCTTCCTTCAAGAATTTTTCATCAGCCACCATCTTATTGGGCACCTTTTCTACAATCCCATTTCCGTTCACTGCTTTCCCATGAATTTATTCTATAAAAACAGAGCCTTAAAAATCCATCCAACATTCTCCCAAATCCTCTCAGTCCTCCCTATCAGCCAGTTCATGAAAAATAATGCCCTTTCTCCTTCATCGTTCATCAATTTGGAGATTCTACCAAATTTTTCGAACTGACTATCCTTCACTTCAACATAAACACAGCTCCCTCCCTACCTCAATTTCCTGAAAAAGGCACTCTTATCATTCCAACACAACATTTCAGAAAAAACATTCTTTAACCATTGAATACTCAATTGGTTGAAACAGCACTAGAAAGAACCAAAACTATTTCAGGTCATGATAGGAATCAAGATGTATATAGTCCGTTCAAACTGCACAAAGCAGAAAGCATAAACAAAAAGGTAGCGTTTGGGATAATAAGCATAACAAGCTTCGGGTGGCGTTTGGCACATTGAAAGAAAGTAAGATAATAAGCATATAAAATCGCCTATTAACACAAAAGGTGGCATTTGGGATGAATTATGAAAAATGTTTCTAGAACTTGAAACAAAATACACATACTATTTCACCAAACTATACACACCGGAATATGTAAAATACACACACAATAATACACCAAAAACCACACTCACAAACTAAGATGTAACAAAACACACTAATAACACCAAAATCCACATGCACACAATAAGATGTAAACAGACACACGTTGTTTACATATAAAAGTTATTATATAGGGAAGGACCCCAAACCCAAACCATAGCATGGACCAACCCAATGACACAATTGGAATAAGTAAAACTCATTCACCCAACTTAATGAGAATCCCAATGGATTAAGGATATTACTCTGACCCTAAAATAAAACTTAAACAAAAGAGTTTGCAATCATTTGATGCGTAAATCGAGCAAATACCATGAAATTTGAGATACTTTAACAATGTCGAATTCAAAGCATCAAATTGTACATATTATGTGATCAGCATCAAACCCAAACCTACTGGTGTTTGCTCACTGGTATGCGAGCAGCTGATTACATATATGGAAACTGCTTCCTTTTGATGATAACCCAGAGAGAAAAAAATCATAAACAAATAGCACCAAGGTATCCAAACTAAACAAAATTGACATTAGACATACCCTATATACTCCACAAAAAGAGAGGAACCTAGCTTCAGACATCCAGTTACTCATAAAATACCAATTCAAAACGACGCTCAAGCCTGAAACACTACTTTCAGGAGTTTCAGGAACAATAATATATAAAGAAAAACCCTAGTTTCAATACCAAATCAGAGAAAATCCTAGGTACAAATTAAATATGAAACAACAATAACATATAAAGAAAAACTCTAGTTTCAATACCAAATCAGACTAGGTTCAAATTAAATATGAAACATTGCCCCGAAATTTCATATCAAATGAAAATTGATGATGCACAAAAGTGGTTTATGCACAATCAAATCAGTCGAGTGTGTGGTGTAAAGCAATTAATGAAACAGTTAACAATAAGAGACAAAGACCGGGAGATTGGGTCTGAATAACCTAACCACAAAAGGCGGCAATGGTGGTCGAAGAACTCTATTAATGAGAGAGTACAAGATAGTAGGGGAAAGAGAGAGAGAACAATAGTACGCTCAAGGTGATGTGTAAGAGATCTCATACCCCCATGCTAAGAAGCACGGACACGGATACAACACGACACGGATACGCAGACACGAAATTTTTCAAAAAAGTAGGATACGGACACGTTTGCGATACGTTAAATAATATATATATATATATATATATATATATATATGTGATAAAATAAAAATATTATCATAATAATATTTTAATTCATTATTTTCCTAATTTTAAAAATTTATATCATGATATCATTGCATGAAAAGTATAAGATATATTAATACACATACAATATTAACATCCATAATTCAATAATCAATAGCTTCTACAACTTTTACTTTAAAAATATTTTATTTCGTAATACTAATTTTCATCAAATTCCAAGAGCTCCAATTTTGTAATCCCATTTTTTCTCACATTACTTTCATATTAAAAGACTATTCCATTTGTATATAAATTCGTATTCATATCCAAAATTATATTATATTCATGTCCTATGTTCAATGTAATTATTATAACTTCTTTTATATTATGATTGTGACTCATATCCCTTTAAAATTATAACAATAACTCTTAATTATAAAATTATCTAAAAAGTTTTCAAAAAAATTAAAAATAAATCTCAAAACGTGTCTTCCAGCATGTCCCAACGTGTCCTGAACGTGTCGGCCATGTGTCCCAATGTGTCTTAAAAAAAATTTAATAATAAAAAATTCAAACACTCATTTTAACGTGTCCAACACGTGTCCGAGCGTGTCCGTGTCCCAGACATGTCCGACATCGACACTCTGTCCAAAATGAAGTGTCCGTACTTCGTAACCCCAATGTGCGAAAGCCTTACAATTTATACGCACAGAGCCCTAGTTGAGACAATGACATGAGGTCAAGATACTAGTTTATCGGGAAGGCTAGCTACAATTGGAGATGAACACTATCTTAGAATAATGGCTATCCCGATAATTGCTCTCTCACGTGCGATGACTCTTGCTGGACTCTTAGGCTTTGAATTGGACTGAGACCATGAGTTAAGCCTGACCTGTCTTTTGATGGTTTGGGCTCAACCCATGAACTGGGTCAGGTCTAGTCTGAATTTGGCCTCGTAAAGATAAAACCCTAGATTCCTAATTTAGTCAATAAATAAAATCCAAACACATAAAAATTTAAAAGTAAATTCAGGCTTGAAATCAATTGGAATGTAAACCCAATATAAAAATCAATTTTTGCTTCTTTGGACATTGTTTGATGAATCATTGAGAACGGAAGCCCTCTGTAAAGCACATGAAAAACCACCTCGATTTGAAACGTAGAATCAAAGTCCATGATGGAAAAAATGAAGCGATAATCCAAATAGAATACAAATATATAGGAATTGAAATTGCAACGATACACATAAGGGAGAAAAGTTGCACCATCAATCATGTAAGAGTATAAATACAAATGATGAGATACATACATTATCACGAGAATTTTTTCTGTGAAGGAGTTGTTCCAGAAGAAGGCATAGAGATTTTGTCTTGTGTGATGATGAAGAATTCACAAATCCCGCATCCATAACGTTAGTAATAAAAGAGAGAGGGGAGAAGGAGAATATAAGAGGGGAGGAGAGAAATAGAAATAGATACCTCGGCCGTGGTGGTTGGATTGTGGTTTTGACGTTGCTCGCAGTGGCTAGGCAGCAGCAGATGCAAAGAGTAGAACAGTGGCCGGCGAGAGGTTAGGGCTAGAAGGAGACAGAGATGTGATTTGGGGAGACTGAGAGACGGGAGCGTGTAAGAGTCATAGTTTTAAAACTCAGCCTGGACATCAACCCGAAAAAGAGATCTAGTCAATGGGTCACTGGTTCAACCGTTTGGTCATTGGTTAGACAGGTCATATAATAAAAAAATAATAAATAGGCTAAAAAATCACAATAATTGTAAAAATAACTGGTTCAATTTACATTAGATCAAACAAATATCCCAAAATCATTAAACATATATCCAATATCTAATAATATCCAATGAACAAATCTCAAAGTAAAGAACTTTCACCTTCGTCAAATTAAAAATTGAAAACTAAACATCTCATTTCATAACATCAATATCTAATAATCAATATGAATGATTCAATATTAAAAATCTAGATTCAAGCATGTCATTACAAAGGATTTAAAAAATAGAATCTGCTCTTAAACCATTTGAACCACGAGACCAACACTCGGAAGAACATTGCCTAAATCATATTCATCATCAAACACAGCAAGAAAGGAAGTTTACAAATTCTAAATATGGAATTCATGATCAACAGCAATTGCGCGGCAACCCTGTTGGCAGTTTTGGCTTCTTTTCCACAACTGGTAGTTCTGCATCATCATCTTCCATTGATTTCCAACACCACCACCCAGGTGACCAGATTTCAAGAACTAAAACCCAAACTCAAGGCTTTTCTCTCTCCTTCCTACCTTTTATTCCAAAGTTCCAATGCTTCTCTGATTTACCCTCTAAGCCAAAATTTATATTTTTATAAATAATAAAATACAACTAAAAATTGGTAATCTAATAGATGTTGAAAATAGAAATATGCCAAAATTTATACAAATATAAATCAACTAAATCTAAAATGGACCAAAAACAAAACTAAATCTAACATAATAGCAGAGACTAGAGAGAGTAAAGACCGAAAGACAGAGAGAAGACGATGTATATACCTGGTCGTGATGTGTCTCAGACTATCGACTGAAGCATCAAGGGAACAGATATCTGATCGAAGATCTGAGTCTTCTTCTTCTTCTTCTTCTTCTGAGAGAGATATGAGTGAGTCGATCAAGGAAGAACGAAGATCTGAGTCTTTGAGTGAGAGAGGGAGAGAGATGAGTCACTCCTCGTCGTCAAGAAGAGCAGAGACATTGAGGAGTGAGGATCGATCAATTTTGGGGAAAAATGCCCTAAAGTCTGTCTTTTATAGAACTTATATTGACCCGTCCGGTTCATCAGGTTTTTCCGGTTCAATTGCTCGAACGGAGAGTCCTATTTTGCATAGGAGATCTGGAGAAAGAGAGTGAGAGGAAATTGGGGAGAGAGGTTAGGACTGTTAGGATTTTATTTTTTTTAACATGGGACCGTTAGGTCATGGCCGCGTTTTTGCCGTGATTGTTTGGGCGGAAAACGTTGATCAACCAACCATTACCCCAAAGGTTTTAGTAAAAATTACAGTTAGTCCATGATTTTTGCCTTAAGTTTTAATTTGATCCATAATTTTTAATTATCTTAATTTAATTTTTGAATTATTAATTTTATCTTAATTAAGTTATTTCGTTTATTATCACCATTAGATCAACACTGAAATGAATCAGATTGAGCTAGCCTCTAATAAATCTAACAATAAAAATTGATAAAATGACTTAATTAAGACAAAATTGATAGTTATGGATCCAAATTATAATAATAATAAATTTAAAGACCAAATTAAAATAAAATATAAAATTCAAGGACCAAGCCCTAATATTTTTGTCACCTTTTCATAACAACCCTATGCCATAAAAAATATGCTAACTATTAGAAAAATGTTATTTGGACTTAAAAATCTGACATAATTTGTTGCCCTAATGACATAATTTCATTGGAACCATTGGATTAACATCAAATTCCAATGTTTGATGGAGCTTACAGTTAATCCAAAAGTCATAGTGAATTAAGTCAGTAAATTAGATCTCAATAGCATTGCTCTAACTATTATTAGGGGCAAAATCAATAAATTATTATAGGGTGGACATGTTTAGTTATAATTTTTTTTTTCCAATTGATGATATAAATATATAAATTAATATTTTCTAAAATTTTATTTAATACTTAAAAGTTCATTAAACATAAAAAATTTAAAAACAAATATAGATAGTGAGTACAAACAAAAAACAAAATAAAAAATTAGTTATAGTTTCTTACCAATAATGAAACATTATACTTGACCCTCATCAACGTCATCGCCAATATAACTCTATACGAGAGTAAGGCTAAGTAGATATATAAATCTAATATATGTCTGTACAAGTACATGGATATAAGTTGGACTCACATGACACGCACAAGCCAGATAAAATGATATGAGTTGAAAGAAGAGAAAAAATAACATAGAAATTAGATAAAATGTTGAAAGAATAACATTATCTTTCAAGAATGAGATAAAATGACATAGAAATTAGAAAACATCGTAGAGAAGGTGCTATAGAATCTGGAACAACATCAATCTTCCAAGGACCACCATGCTGATATTCAGCATGTCTAGTTTTAGTGGAATTGAATTGGATTTACCTTCCCAATTAATGAAATGAACTCAACTGCGACACTAAGCGCATTAACAGCCGCCAAAGAGCTCAAGCTCATTGCTTTCACTCTCTTCCCTGCTCCTGCCAAATCCGATATGCCACGAAACACAATACATGGCACTCCATTTGTTAAAGATGCCTGCAGATGCCAAAGAACACTCAAAGTGAGACACTGTCCTTTTGAGGATTTATGGCTAAATATAGATTATTCCCAACGATTTCATGCTTGTGCTAAACAAAATAACTGTTCTACTAACCATGATAACTGCAGAACTCTCTTCGTCTACAGTTGAGATGTTGAATTCCTTGAAAAGAAATTCTCTGTATGCTGCATTATCAAGGAATATATCAGCTGTCGAACCTTTTAATCCATAAACAACTTTTGGTGTTTCGGGTAGGCAATATGTGTTGTTGATGCATCTTTGTAGATTAATATCCTGTTGAAATTAACAAGATAGAAAGTACCCATTTTATTGAATTCAAAAATGAAACTGCAGCCTTTAAATGACAAATGAATATATGTACATATGTGCAGTGCAATGACATACACTAAGCAGCATGGCCACACTGAACCAATTTGGTTCAATCGGAAGCCAGAAAACTTCTTGCATTGGTTGTCCGGTGGAGTACAACTGTTGTGGTGTGAATTCTACTTTTGCCAACAGATTATCACCCCTACTTGGAAAATTGTAGGAACCAAACTGTAGTTCTGGCAATTCCCCCTTCATCGATTGAAATTCCTGTATGAAGATAAAATGCAAACACTGAAACTGATATTATACCAATTTCTATCTAGATGAATCTAAATAGTGTAGTGATTTACTAGGACAAGTTCCTTAGATCTTGAAACTAAATGTGCACCTATGCATAAAGCATATACATGATAGAGTAATAAAAAGTCAGACAAAAGAAATTATATTGCTTCTGCATCCCAGAATTTTCCTGTACCCGGATCTGGTTCATTGGGAACTATATATGCATATATATTACCTTCCATTTCCAAGAACCAGTGAAGGCAACATAATTTGGCACGCTAACATCACCGAGAGATAAGGAATCATTAGTACTACCAGCTGTCCCATAATGCACAATTCCCTCAATGTTGAAGACATCAAGTAGGATTTGCACAACAATTCCTGCATTTAACTAGATATCCCAACACAAGATCAAAGAGTAAGTGAAAAAGAATGTTAACACATCAAAGCAAAACTTTTAAAAGCTTGCTGGTGAAAATTAGGGTACTAAGAGGAACCAAATGTTAATAGAGAGGAAAAGGGAAGAAAAATAATAAGTTACCGTTTGCTCACCGGTCATTACATAAATCACAGCTACCCCCTTTATTGTTCCAATGTTGAATCTCCTTCCTGGACAACAAATATATCAATCTCAATCATAGTGGAAGTTGTGGTCTTAATTAGAGTCTCAACCACATTCAATCGAAAAGGCCTTTATGCAAGCATCTGCCCACTTCATGCCCTCTTGGTGTGTTTAATTTCAAACACTTTTTAAACCATTAAGCATTAATTTGATTTATTCAGGGTGCAGTGAAGGTCGTCCTAGTCAATCAAGGAATTAATTAATTTATTTATTTATTATTGGTTTCTGTATAAATTCAGGCCTAAAAGACACATCTTAGATTCAATTGAGGACAAATGTCTTAGTTTGCTTCCAAGCAGCCATGGAGACACCAGAGATATAGTGTGAGCACAAGGCAAAACCATTAAAAAAATGGGCGAGAGAGAGAGAAAGAGAAAGAGAGCATACCGGACAAGTCGACGGAAGGGACATCGGAGCTGGGAAGGAAGAGACTAGAGGATTGAAGAGCAGCCTCTTCAGTGGGATAAGCCATTACGAGCCCTATATAAGGGCCTCCATTCTCGTTAACTCTGTCAACCACTCCATGTAATGGATGGTTTGACCTCAGCTGAACAGAGCGTTGTGTCATAACCAATACCACCACCATTATCACTATGGCTTTGGAATTCACAGCTCTCAATCCATTCACCGCCATACCAGCATCTTACTTTCCGAATTAGTAAGTACGAGTATTATCGGACGACTGTCGGTGATTTTCCCGGCGAGTTGGAGTAGTTAGTTTGTTGATGGGACAGAGACGAGGGAGACCGGTGGACTAGGTATTATTTTGAGCACGTGAAAAGGAGTGTAATAATTCCAAAGAGTAATTTATATTTATAATTAGCGGTGGATTTATAAAGTAAACTTAAAAATTCAATTTGATAATTATAATTATCGATTTTACTGTTTATTAAGTTTAATCTTTAAGTTTGATCCAATTTATCAAAAATCCGACCTTAGCTCAGTTGGTAGAGCGGAGGACTGTAGTCGGTTTAAAGCCACAGTTAATCCTTAGGTCGCTGGTTCGAATCCGGCAGGTCGGATTCCTTTTCGTCCAATGTCATATATATAATATTTTATATTTCTCCCATGTGCAATTTCTTTTTCTCCTTTTTTATTTGGATGTGGCAAGTGTCATTTTGATTGAATGAAATAAGCAATAAATAGTAGAAAAAATAGTAATTTTCAAACATTGAAAAAAAAAAAAAACTGTTTTTGCCAAAATTCAAATATAATTCTCATGTATATTTTCATCATTTAATTAGGATTAAAAATCATGTTTAATTTAAATTCAACTTGATTTACTAATTTATGTGGGGGTGGGGGTGGGGGTGGGGGTATCGGTATCCCTTGACCTTAACGAAAGCAACTATCTTATTAAGAAGATTGCATAGCCTCACCTGAACAAAGCATATGACATATGGCTCTTAACGTAAGTAGTATTTTTCGGAACATATAAATAAGAAGATGAAAAAAATCCCAAATCACAAGAAAATTGAATTTCCCAATTATGGCTTTTCTAGCGCTTAAAATTACAATTCCCTCATTGAGAATGGGTTGGTTCATTACAATAATGTTTCATAACAATCATCATCATCATCATCAGATCAGATGTAGGGAAAAATAGTGATCCAGTGCCAGTTTTCTTTTCTAGTGTTTAAACATTGTAATGCTCTCTATCTCTCAGATTCCTAAAGCTCTTCACGACTTGAGGGGACGGCAGCAACTTCCAACATAAACATAATCCCAATGTAGCTGCCTCTACAAAAGCTTCAATCCACCAGTTACATCATCCACCATGCCAGCAGGCCCTGCACATATATAGGCTACAATATCATCCAACAAACTCCGGGCAGGAAAAAACAATACGAAGACTAGTCTTGTGAATTTTCCCGTCTTCCAGTTATCTACATTTTGAGACTACTTCCATGTTTTCCCAGTGGATTCTGGCATTTCAGTTACAAGACAAAGATATGTCTGTTTTATTTCTGTTATCACTGCCCCATACGTTCTACACATCCCTATTCCACTTCTTCGAGTTCTGATAACTAAACAAAAAGCCTACATTATTTCCAGGCACCAGGGAAGTATAACTCACCAAGGATAGCCATCACCGTCCTTGAATCTGGAAAACAGAAAGTACAAATGAGATCATTGTCATATAAATCGGAAAATAAGCCACAAAAGAATAAATGCAATTGGATGAAAGACAGAAAGGAAATACGAGTGAACATAATCAATCACAAATATCAAACTTATAAAAAAGACACTACAGTTGTGTGTTATAGCCATCGCTCTAATAAGTGAGAGTGAATAAGCTAATAATCTCGAATAATTAATATTTCTTTTATATTGAGTAATTAATTGCTCAAACAATACTATGACGGGCACAAATGGGAGTGAAAAAGATGCTATCCATCAGAAACTGATAAAATTATACTTCCATAATTCTGTACTAACGTTATTTTCTAACAAGCACAAGATTAGGAACTTTCAATATGCCCTTTCAAAGGTAAAATTACACATTTATTAGATATAAACACACAAGAAAGAGAATTACTTGGTGCAATCTGTGTTCTCCCTGCATCAACCGTAATATGGGTCGGTAAGTTAAGTGATTTTGCCCTTTCCTGTGAGTAAAAAGAAATTTCAACGGATGGTAAAATAATTACAAAAAAGTAAGGAAAACTGACACATAAAATGAGGAGGGGAAAAGAACTAACGGTGCCACAAACTAAGGGTTCATTCATGGTACCACTGCCATATGTTTTTGGACAGAATGTAAGGCATGACTTATATTACTTGTGAGCTGAAGTTCAATCAGTTTCAAGAAATAAAGCTGAAGTTCAATCAAGCTTCCAGGAAATCAAATTTCCCACACAAAGTCCCATAATGAACTACTATGATTATCAATAGCTATTGAAATTGTCAGTGACTAAGTGTGACATGAAACGCCAAATTACGTGTTAGTTTCCACTCCGACCGAGATTTGGTGACATTTTACTGCAAACTCTTTAAAAAGAGTCAATTTCAGAGCAATTGTGACAAAATTGCATTATCAATGACAACGTATCATGAGGAAAAGTGTTATAATATATTAGAAAATAAGCAGGATGCTATGAAATGGTCATACAGTATTTCTATACTTCATTTAATCTACAATATTTACGCATATGGTTGTTGGCAGCAAATACTTACTAATAGCTTATTAGTATAATATGAAGATGTGTCGTATGTAATGTGTGGACATAACATGTGATGGTAGAAGGGGGAGGGCCTGAGAGAGGAGTCAAGTGTTGGACTATCACACATAACAATAATACCTCATGATAAATGTTATTTGGTTAGGACCATTGTTCAAAGTATTGGTCGGTATACACGACTTGGCCTAGACTCGACACCTTCTGTTCCAAAACCAATACATGTTCTATATAAACCACAAGTCTCACTCGACTCATGGTTAATTAGGAGATACAACTATGTCAAATAGTCTGAATGATTGTTCAACAACAATTTTGGTTTAAATCTCTGGTCATGCCCAACTTCTTTTATCTAGTATTTCTTGTGTATCGTCCGGTATTGTTCCTCGACGTTGCAACTAATGTGTTGCAATACCCTCCGAATCGATGTTCAACACCACAACATTGAACCATGGTTGGGACAAGAAAAGTTGTACATGAAAGGATTTTATCCTCCGGCTAGACAACAAAACCAAGAGATACTTCAATGTGAAATGAAGGCTATTTCCTGTTGATCAACCTACTCATATTAGTCTTAAATCGAAAAGTGTAAAGTTAAACGGGTTATTCAACATCAAGAACCTGGTAGTACAAAAAAGGCCGAAGAGGGGAGAACACTTCCTAGTACCAACAAAAGAGGCAGACTAAAATTAGATAAAAGGTGTACATTATGTTGGAAACTTCTAATAAAGTGGTTGAGAGAAACCTTTATAATGATTAAAGGATTTGTGATTCAACGAGAGCCTCATCGTCGAGCAACCAACCATCAAACTCCCCTTCCCCATAAAAAATTTGTCCAGACCAAGAAATAACGGAAACATACACTTTGGTATAATTCGCATCAACACAAAGTTACTAATTGAACAGAGGGAAGTATCAACCAACCAAATTTAAAATTTACACTCCACTTTGCATGAAGGCCATATATATTGGAGTAGAAGAGCTTGTCTTCAAGCTAAATTTTCTGGAAAGAATAATGTTTCACTTCTAAGTATAGATGTTAATTTAGTTGATCAAATAAAAATATTAAGTCACGGAACTAGCATGTTAGAAGATTCATATTATGAAGAAAAAGTTCAAACGGTCAGTTAGAATCATATCATGATATTCACTCACCTGTAAAATCAGCAGATCATCTTCAGACTCAATTTTCACCACCACCTTAACTTGCCCACACATCTCCCACCTGCACATAGATAAATCCTGATCACAAACAACAGATAAAAAACAAAGCATTATTATTCATGGTCCAACCAAACAAAAATTGGCATTTATTTGACGAAATTACCTGTTCAAAGCCTTTGGCGCTCGAAGGAGAAGCTTCTTATAAAGACCCAAAGTTGCATGGCTAAAACCAACACAAATCACTTAAATTAATTAGGGCAAATTGCTGATTAGTATCAACTTTAAAAAACTTGTTACATGTACTTTGTATGCAATTTGAGGCCTTATTATCTCAACCATCACTTACAACAGGCTTTCACATTTGTGAGAGGAATGAGCAGGAACAATGGCTGAATGGAAAAAACAGGCCAGGAGTATTCAGATTTAACTCATTCTTCATCTTAATGGTCCTGGTAATCACCCAGTACATGAGGGAAAATAGGTTTGCATGTGCCCAAGCTAATAAGATGCAGATACGTCATTGTTAGCCAAAAAACATGTATATGACAACCTCAAAAGTTCCGCAAGATGGTATTCTAAGCTTCATATATTATTCTTTTATTTGATTCATATATTTGAGACTTTGAGCTCAAACAAATTAGAGATGTGGTTTGTACCCTAATTTTCAGCATCTTCTGCTTTGCAAACACCTCAGCCTATAGTCTAATTCATTCCCAAGTAATCTTTTGCCTCTCATATATGAGTTTACGATTATAATATCCATGGGCCATCTCTTCAGTTATGCTAATGAGGACATAAACACCAGTTGAGATTAGCAAGAAAATCATATTAAAAAGAGTAAAATTGTCAAGGCATTTTCAGGAAATCGGACAAACAATTGCTAACACAACTATGGCACCAGATGCTTTCATATATTATGTGAACAGTAAAACATACAAGCATCCACAAATGGCCTCTACCAACTTTATAAAATTTCCGAGAGAAAAGAAAAAAGGCATAACTCTTCTTGAGGCAATGAAGAAATTTATGTCTACCTGCATTGGGCGGCAATCTTTCCTTTCCCCATCTTTAAGTCATTCCTCACCACTAAAACCTTCATAAGATAAGAAAAATCCCATATAGTCCTTACATCCCTAAGCACAAACATAGAGAAATGGAGAAAGTGGGAAGAGATGTAACACCATTTTGAAATCTTCAATAATGTCAGCCAGCTTTTCAATCTCGAGGGGTTGCTTGACCTTGTTCTTCTTCTCACCATCGGCAACAACAGCAGTGCGTTTAACAAACCTGGCTGAAAGAAACAGGCGAGCAGGATATCGTGTGCCAATGAGGTATCCCAAAGCAAGGCAGCCAGCCCCAATGAGAATGGCACTGAGCCATGTCATGTCCATCTTACCCACACCCCAACCAACACCCTGCACTGTGCTCAATTCCCCCCTACAATCAAGCCAGATGAAGAATGCAATATTTGGTAGCAATGCAGCACAAGATGAAAAAACCACCTATAATTGGACATTTCAAATGGAGTCATTCATGGTTGAGATAACACATTGCAAATGAGAAGCTTTTTCCTTTTCAAGTTGACATCCTACATTCCAACAAGAATAAACAATCTTAGAGAGATGAGAGACTCTACTCCCATTCTTCAGCAAAATTTTATGATTCACTGCCACTTCAGTTCCGGACCTTGAGCTTGAATTTAAGTAGCTTTTCTCTTTATAGTTTAAAAAGGCCTTTTTTTCCCCAATGGCCTGATTTACCTTTCCAATTAACCCACATAGAACAAGAACATGGTCTAACCAATTTAAGACATATCATCTAGAACCCACAAGAGACACAGAAACATATTGGACTCGTTTGGTAGACGTATTATGAGGGGATTAAATATTAGATTGTATTATTTTTTATTTAATCGGGCCTAATACATTGTTTGATAAGTAAATTTGATACCGTATTAATTTCAAAAACGTATACTTATCGTATATTTTTTATACGTTAGACTTGTATTATGGAAGTATTTTAATACCACAAAAAGAAGTGATATTATAATCCAACTCAAACGTATTATTTTGCACATTTACCATTATAACCTTTTAACTGATAAAATCAAACTGTCATCAATGTAACAAACACTGGTTGAGGGTATTTTTGTTAATTTATCATGAATACGATAAAATAATTCTTTAACCAAACAACTGATTGAATTAAATAATTACTATCCAACGTTTATGTTGTGTATTACTAAATACTAAATAAAATTACGTATTATTCTAATACCATATTTAGTCTTGTCTTTTGTCCTTCGGTATTTTATTAGACCGGATTATTTTATTTAATCTATCCATTTCTAATACGGCAACCAAACGAGCACATTATTCATTACGAAGGTAAGGTCATGGCCATCAAATAGTAGGTATAAATGGAATTCTCTAATCCAATCAAATACAAATCATATGTCATAAGATAGACAACAATTAGATACAATAATTAATATACAAATTAATTATGCCATTACTCGAGATGCAAAATCAAATAAGCTGGTTGAGCAAACTAAAAATAGCAATAGTGGGAATTACACAGCAGTCAACAGAAAATAGAAGATGCTGTGTTGTAACCCACCTAGCACATTGTATGACAAAGTGAGAACACAGCATTTGGAACCCAGAAGCAGAGGCAAACCGACCTACACTGGATAACGAAGGTCGACTCATGCCCAACAAAATAGTAAGTGAATGAAATTCTATAAGGGCGTTATCTAATCAAGTACAAAATCATAAATAAATAAATAAAATAGACAACAACGGCGTACAAAAATTACAATACAAATTAACTAGGGTCCAACCCAATACTCGAAATCAAATAAGATCGTTGATCAAACTAAAAAACAGCAACAGTGGGACTTACACAATAGTCAACAGAAAGTAGGAGATGCAGTGTTCTAGTGCAAATGTTTACACTTCGAAGAACCCCAAGTCCGAGGATACGGAAACTGCATTGATAGAGCGATCGAGCCCAGATCAGAGGGGATTGAACTCACGAAGACATGACTGTCGAACGAACTCTCACAAACAGTACGGCGAGTGAAAGATACATGGCGCTGGGGGTGTAACTCGGGTTGTACAACCCGATTTCAACCCCGAGTCTAACCCGAAAAAATTAGGGGTCGGGTAAAAATTTTTAATACTTGAGTTGAAATTTGGTCAGTCTCTCTCGTTAAAACTTGGTTAAAGTTATTGGTTGTTAATTTAAATGAATATTATGTAATATATATATTAAATTTAGAATATCAAATTTATTTTTGGCTCTACTCGAATTGAACCTGAAATCAGTTCAAAATTATCAACTCGAATTCAATCCGAGTCCGTCTTAATTAAACTTTGACAATGCTCGAGTTGAGTTCCCCAATCCGAGATAGTGTTAAGGTTAAAATTAAGATTAAAAATTATATATTTAGAATTAATTGTCCAACTCCCTCGCAACCTAAATGGCGCAATGAGTGTGGAAGACGGAAGTTCTGCTTCAATTTTTCTGGGTCTGTTTGGGTCATGTACGGGTTTACCACGTTCTGTGTATAGCTTCCGAATTTGCAATAAAACTTCCCAACGTATCCAAACAACTCTTTAGTATTTTGGGCGAATTATACTTTATACCTTAAATTATTTTAAAATTTTTATTTTATATACTTAAAGATTAAATTTTTTCTATTATACTTTTAATATATTAAAAATATTGTAATGTAACCCTTTGATAGCTTTCTGTTAATTTTTTTGTCAATGCCAATTGGTTAATTTTGGCCTGAAAAAAAATAAAATATAACAGAAATGTCATATTATAATATTTTTAATACATTAATGATAAAATATAAAAAATTTAATATTTGATAATATAAAAAAAAATATTTAAAATTTTTTAAAATACCAAATGTGAGATTTTTATCGTTCTAGTCGATGTGGGTCAATCAACAAGGGGACTGGTTTTATAATGCATCGATGCCTTTTATTAGGCTGATTTATGCAATTAATATCTAATTTGCCAAATATTGATCACATGCCCTTACAGATTAGTAATTCATAAGGATATCCCTTAATTTATAAAAAAAATACATTGACAATTCTTATCAGATTTTATCGATAAACAACGATAATAAGATATTGGTGTTTCATATAGGGCTATTAAAATTCGACACGACACAATTAATCGATACGAATCAACACGAATTAAGTGAATTTTGGTGAGATTTTTGACGGGTTTTGGTGATGAACGGGTTGACACGTCAAACACGTTTAATAAACAGGTCGTGTTCGGGTGAGATCTGTCAAACCGTTTATCACACGTTTACTCGTTTAAATAAAATTATTATAATAATAAATTAATAATTATTTCAAAAAATAGCAAGAAAAAAAAAGAAGTAAATATGTTAATAAAAAAAAGTAAAGTAGTAATTCAATGACAAAAGAGAGGAGATGATGAGCATTTCAAAGACAAAGGCAAATCAATGGCTTTTATTTTTGTCCCACCCACATCGGAAAATGAGAGGAGATGAGAAGAATTGAGTTGCCTATAAAAAACAATAACCTCTTACTTCTTTTTTAAGCTTTTAAATCTTATTTTTATTAAATTTGACTAAAAATTTCTCTTTTTTTATGTAAGTGTAATTGACAATAAAAAAAATGGAGTATTAAAATTTGTTAATATAATTTTTTTTTAAAATTAAATAGGTTAAACGAATTCGTGTTCGTGTTAAGATTTTTTACCCGTTTATTAAACATGTCGTGTATAGATTTATATATTTTTCACACGTCACCCGTTTAACCCGATATATTTGACACCCCTAGTTTCATATCTCTAGTCCATAAGAATTAATAAGTTAATACAGTAACATCTAAAAATAACCCAATGGATGTCCTTAAGATTATGTTCACCTACAATAGTTGCTAATGGTGCTCGGATTATATTAGCCCAAATTCATAATCGTGGTCCGTAGCCTAGGGGGATGTAGAATAAATATAAAGACTAAAAAAGGGTAGAATTGCGAGAGGAAATTTAGGGCACAATGTAAGTGGTTCAGCTTAACAGAATGACTAAAGTTGCATCAATTATAAAAGAATCTCTTACTCTTTTAGGGTTTTATATTACTTGATTTCATTCTTCCGATTCTATTGGGCCTTTTACTTTTGTCCTACCTCTGCCATGTGACGTCACTGTGTCCACAATTTTTGAACGGTTACGCGCACCAATACTTTTTATACCAAAGAATGCGTGTTTGTTATGGGTGTCAAAAGTGGTCCCCTTGTCCCGAGCTTACATTTGACTGAGTTGAACTGGGGCCAGAGTCCAAGTCTTCGCGTACCATTGGGCCTTTCCTTTTGGGTTCGGTCCACTCTACTCTTGGTGTGGATAGGTTGTGGACGCTTTATTTAGGCCATTACAGAAACAATGGTTTTCTGAATTTATTGGGCTATTTGATTATGAGAACTCATACGAAAAAATCTTATCATTATTAGTTGTTGTTGAGATTTAAACTATATAGGTTTTATTATTTAAAGATGTATGAGATTTTAATTATATCCAATCAAGTCACTTACATATTTTCACTAATCATATAATATTTTTATTTACTAAAGATCGTGACTTTTTGATCTCACCAACTATCCTTGATCGAATATTATTTTATCTTAAAGAGGTAATATTTTTTTATAATAAAGTCTCATATATAAGCAACTTAAGCACCTAAGAGCATCATACCAACACTATACCATTGTCTCTAACTTCCACGAAAGTGGTGATCCAGCCTCAATAATTATTTTTTATTCCATGCGTTGTTCTTGTTTAAATGTCTTTTTATTTAAATAAGATTTGATAAAGTTAATAATAACATAGCTGTCTTTTGATTTAAACATGACTTAACGAAGTTAACAAGAAGAGATCATGATTAATAGAAAGAGAAGCACATCAACGAAGAGGATTGATAGGGAACTGACTGAAACAGAAGCTTCTCTCGTTTCCAAATAATACATAACCAAAAAAAAAAATGAAGCTCCACGTGTTGATGTGCAAGCCCGAAGCTCCATCAGTAACAAAGTGGCGCTGCCACAACATAGCAGACCCTCAGGTATTTTAGTACATATATCTCGTACATATACGAAGCTAGAGTATAGATATAGGCAAAGCTATAACTCAAAGCACTTGACTCCAACAATACGGCGAGCTACATCGACGGATTCCTGAGTAAGTCTTACGACTTGGTCATTTCAAAACACGCAATCAGCCAACGACTCCAAGCTTTTCACCTTCGATTACAAGGTACTCTCATTCAACGACGCTTCACAAATATTTAATCTTGTAAAATTGTGAATTGCTCTGTGATCCGATCACTAGATTTTGTATGTCAAATTATACTTATGTTGTGCTGTGATATCTTGATATATGCATCAAACTGAATCTTTTATTTTCTTTTTCAAATTGTTTGTTTGAATGATGAGATTCAAAAAAATTTGCGTTTGACTTCTGATCAGAGGAGATAGTCTGAAGAATTTTATAATTCTTACGTGAATTGATATTTTCCATTCATGATCTACAGACAATTCAATATTTTTTCATGTGGTTTGGAATACAGTTTCTTCCATTTCATGTTAACCATGCTGACCAAGAGCTAATTTGGGTGTTTTGTCATTCGATTCTTTATTAGGGTTTGTGTGGGTTTTCGTTTTCAGTGGAAGATAGTGGCAAGGGTTTTGAAGATTTAAAGAACTTGTAGATTTTGGCAGTCCTTAGAACTACGGTTTTGAAAATGAGTGACAATCTGCTGGATAAACTCAGTGCTTTTGGCGAGCGCTTGAAGATTGAAGGGTCTGAGGTCAGCCAAAAGATCAGTGCTGGAATGAGCTCTATGAGTTTCAAGATGAAAGAGTTCTTCCAAGGCCCAAATCAGGTGGATAAACTTGTTGAAGAAGCGACTGCTGAAACTCTAGATGAGCCTGATTGGGCCACGAATCTTGAGCTTTGTGACATGATTAATCAGGACAAGATCAATAGTGTTGATTTGATACGTGGGATAAAGAAGCGGATCATGTTGAAGAGCCCTAGGGTTCAGTACTTGGCTTTGGTGTTGCTTGAGACTGTTGTTAAGAATTGTGAGAAAGCATTTTCGGAGGTTGCAGCTGAGAGGGTGCTTGACGAGATGGTGAAGCTGATTGATGATCCTCAGACTGTTGTTAATAATCGGAACAAGGCTCTGATGATGATGGAAGCATGGGGGGAGTCTTCTAATGAGCTCCGGTATTTGCCTGTTTACGAAGAGACATACAAGGTATTCCTACAGCTTGAACATAACTACTTATTTGTACTGCTTTAGTTTTTTTTTCCTGGTTCCAATTCAAGACTGAGGCCATGATAAGAACAGATAATCTATAAAAGATTGTCTCTTATTTGTTACTAATAAAATCCTCGCAACTTGGCCAAATGCTTTTAGGCACTGCTGATAATTTTCAGGTAGATGAAGGAATGGTTCAATTGGATAGAGATAGTTTGCATAAAAGTGTAATGGTTTGAAGAACTTGCACAGGATGAATTGACCTGTCAACTATATGGTTTAATTTCAATTCCAAAATTAATTAAGTTAGCTCGTAGTTGTAGGTAATTCATGTTATATTTATTATTTCTTTCTTCTCTAGGGACACATTTATTTATTTACTTATTCTTTTTGTAGAGCTTGAAATCAAGAGGCATAAGATTCCCAGGTCGTGATAATGAGAGTTTGGCTCCTATATTTACTCCTCCTCGTTCAGTCTCCGCTTCAGAATCAAATGTTAGTCTTGCCCAACAAATTAATCATGAGATTCCTGTGCAAATCTTTTCTGCTGAGCAAACAAAGGAAGCTTTTGACGTGGCACGAAATAGTATTGAGCTTCTTACCACTGTTATATCATCTTCACCGCAACAAGATTCTTTGAAGGTACTTTTTATTCATGACAGTAAGTCATAAATAGCTTTTGTAATGAGTTGCACATTAGGTAAAATGCACAATAGCATCATCTTTTAGAGTTCTTGCATCCCCATGATTAGCATGGTTAATTATAAGGCACCGACCTTTCCTAGTTTTCTTGTTTTTATCAAACTTAACATTCTGATAGTCTAATGGACACAGTTATCTAGCTCAACTAAAATACATTTACTTTCTTCATTTTAGTCAATGTCGTGTAACAATTGTGGTACGTATGACGTTGCATTTTTGCATAACATTAGTTTGCTGATTTTCACACTGAGCAATGGTTATTTAATGTGATTGAGCTCTAGAATGGAATTTTAATGTTGTGTGTGCCACTTTACATGGAATCTTAATTTTTGCATAACATTAAGATTTGCTCTTTTGCTACCACTGACCCACCCCAGGGAAGTCCGAACTGAGGGGCAAAAACACCCATTCTGCCAATATTTCAAGGATTAATATTGCTTTCTTGGTCTCCAACTAGCTTAGAAAAATGAAAAATCATAGTTTGAAACTTTCTACTTGAGTAATGTATCAAATGATTTTGTGTCTTCGCAAATGCAAACATGGAGATATGCAATGTCTACCACTATCGATAGCACTAGAAAACTGGTGAGAAAGTGGACAATTTGGGGTAAGTTAAGAAACTAGCAGAGGTTGCCCCTTTTCATGGAAAAATCAAAATTTCGAAGGCCATACTTGGTGGCATAACCCAAATGTGCACTGACTGCTCAGCTTAAAGCAACCCATGGTAGTCTACAGATTTGTCTCTAGTGGTCCAGCATCTCAACACCTTCATGGTGCTATTGATGAAAACTTGATCTGCTAGAAAAAGTCGCTGCTCTTCTAATATCTTGTAATATTGTAAGTACCAAAGTTTTGAATTTTTTGGTGTTTTCATAATGGTTGCCCACAATTAGGGGTTTCTTAGTATTGGTACGTTGGGGTTGTGGAACTTTTTTTATCGCCACCCCTAAAAAAGAGGCATATTGGTTTAGTGTGAAGACTATATTTAAGATTTCTTTGTGAAACCAGCGGTGGTTGCGGCCATGAATTCAAATGGAATGTTATCATTTAAACTGAGGTCGAGTGAAGGGAAAAATGGCTGAGGATTTATTTCTTCAAAGCTGGGAGAATTATGGGTTTTTAAGTGAAATTTTTATAACTCTTTATCTTGTATAACAAAAGGATTTTTTGTCGTTATTGTATGATATTTCCTTGAAGCTTTGCGGTTTGGGATTTTGTTTATGTCAGTGGAGCTGTAAGAGTTATTCTTCAAGATTGTTTCTATGGTTTTCGAATATGGCCATGTTCTTCACTTCCTTTTATTAAGATAGTATTTAGCCGTATAAGAATGCCGCTGTCATGCTTGTGGATGAAGGAGATCTAGAAGTTGATTGGCAAATGATTTGGGGATGGAGATGGATGTAAACTGATTAATACTCTTTTCTTTGTCTGTAACCGCTTTGAAAAATCGTCGTCTAATAATATATTGTCCGATTTTGCATATTTTTGGTTTTGAAAGATGAAAATGGAGGCTTGGCAAAACTGTCTGTAGTTTGACCTCTTGGCTTCTGCGTAGAAATGGAGTAACCATGCTATTAAAAGAATCTATTTGACATGGTCCACTTTCTGAACAACTTCATGATAAGATAACCCACTCATCTTGGAAGGGGTGGTTGCATATAGATATGGGTATAGCAGTGTGACGACCGACATGCATTTTGGGTCCATTGTGATTGTTGTTTACAGGTATATTAGTTTTCCAGTGTCACTAAACACCTATGCTAGGTATATTAGTTTTCCAATGTTGCTAAACACCCATGCCAAAAAAAAAAAAAAAAACAGACTCGTTTTTTTGAGATTGTTTTAGTTGGATTCTCAGATGTGTTTGTCAGGAATTTACCTGAGAAAGAATTTAGTGCTTCCAGCGGAGAGAGCTATAGTTGTTGGTTGCATTTGTGAAAAAGTTCATTCAGGGATCCATTCTGTATGACACATGGTTTTTTTTGAAATCCTGAAAGTGCCAGACTGGTGGCTAACTTAATTGACCATAGGCTATTGCTTACTGTTGGTATTTCATTTTGGAGCCCGTGCTATGCCTTAGTGCAGAAGTTTGATAATTTTTTTCCCCTGTTCAAAATTTGGAGTTTTCTAGCTGGTGGTATTGCTACTGGTCAGACTGTGATATTCAAGTCAATGTTTCCTCCATATTTCTAAACACTTTCCGAATTGTTTTGACAGGATGACTTGACAGCCACACTCGTACAACAGTGTCACCAGTCCCAATTTACTGTGCAGAGAATCATCGAGACCGCTGGGGATAATGAGGCCTTGCTCTTTGAAGCCTTAAATGTGAATGATGAAATTCAGAAAGTCCTATCCAAGTACGAAGAAATGAATAAATCCTCAGGGATTCCCCGGGAGCCAGAACCTGCAATGATATCTATTGCTGTTGAGCCTGATGAATCACCTCGTTTAGGCAAAGAAGAGGCCCTGATAAGAAAACCAGTGGGCTCTCGTGGTGGAGCCCCGGGAGGGAGCAATGATGACATGATGGATGATCTTGACGAGATGATCTTTGGTAAGAAAGCAGGTGGAACATCTGAAGTGGGGCATGATACAAAAAAGCAACAATCATCACCAAAAGATGATCTGATCAGCTTTTGAGTTTCATTTACAGATAAAATTTTCGGGGTGGAGCAGAAGAGGCCTTTGATGATGTTGGCATTAGTCCATTTAGGTGTTGTTGGCATGAAGTTCAATGACTAAAACCATCATGAACGGGACTGCATACTTTTTTTCTTTTTCTTTTTTTCACATGGTTTAATACTTAAAGACTCCTATTTCATTGTTAAAGCATATATTGTGGAAGTAATTCATGTTTTAGCTTGGGTGGATTGTTCACGAGACATGTGACAATATGTTTAATATGAACATATCTGGTGGCGGTGGGATCTAATGTTTGATGTAGTTGTGTAAATGGATGATATGTTTATATATGACCTGTTCGTTTGTATTTTGGTTCTCATCTTTGCTGCATTGCATTTGCCTAGTGATGTCATGGTGTTGGAGGATGGGTACGGTTTCGCTTATGTTCATTGACCCAACCCAAGGAGATGAAAAACAAGTCTCTGCCTGAGATATATTTGTTGTGGCAGTGCATGATTTACTGAATTGATATCAAACCCAGTAATGGCATAGCATTGCAAGGGACTTATAGGTATACAGGTAGAGTAGGGTGGAAATAAGTTTTGTTAAAAAATAGGGTAAATTGTATTCATCTCCCTTAAAGTTTGATCAAATAACAATTCGACCCTCTTTTGTTTGAAAAATAGCACTGACCTCTCTTGTCAGTAACAACCATTCTATTTGACTAACAGCAACAAAAAAATGACTATAATACCCTCAACCCAAAATATGTTTGAAGAAGTGAGGTTATCTCCTTCATCCTTGGTGGGCTTATTTGTTTAAACCAAAGGTAGGAGAATCACTTAGAGGAAGAGAGTTGCTGGCAGCCATGAATGTTCAGGTTTTTTATCAGTTAAGAACTAGAGCATTTTGGGTTAGTTGGTTGCCTCCTCCAGAGGGTGTTCTGAAGGTGAATGTAGATGGTGCATCCCAAGGTAATCCAGGTCTGTCAGGGGGGAGTTGTGTTGAGAAATCAGTGGGGACAATTGCTTATGGAAGCTTCTATTTTTATGGAGTTTGTACAAACATGGAGGCAGAGTAGGGGTTTACTGGATGGTTTAAAATTGGTTGATAAATATGGGCTGAGAGATTATAAGATTCTAGTTGATATGATTATGGGCGTATCTTCATGGACTTTTTGGGATTTCAAATATCATATTTCACGGTTTTTGGAAAGGTTTGATTTTGAAATGAGGCAGGCAGATTTATTGGGCAATAAAGTAGTCAAGGATAGATGTTTCACAGAGGTATCTTCAGCTGGTCAGCTTCCCACACAGGCACGCCTCCTGTTGCTGCAAGATCTACTGGAAATCAAAGCCTTGAGGAGGAAAAATATCTCAGAATACTTAGGGATGGAAACTATGTTGGCAGTTGTCTGCAAGACCTACAGTGGTGTTAAAGCACTGGAAACATATGAGAAAGATGGGTCTATAGTTACTGGTCTTGGCCTTCATGGACTTGGAGCTTCAATTGGGAGGCCATTGGGTGGTCGATTTCTTGTCATTTGTCTTGAACAGCTTAGATAAGTCAAGTGGTTGACATGATCTCTTTGTTTAGCCAATCTGAAATTATAGTTTGTTTATAATCTGAGGACTTCTCTTTTCTATTACCTCACACCCTCTTCTTGGTTGTGTGTTCAGACCATGTGTTGGGCAGTTCATAGCTGATGACCCACAGAGAAGGCTTCATCTTCTAAAACTGAAATTATTTAATGGCGAATCTCCAACTGGATTTCTTGGGTTTGCTGTGAATATGATCAATGTTGATGAATGCACAAGGGCGGACATGCTGGATGCTCTCACTTGTATAAAAGATGGAGCCATATCTTTGGATGGTGGGATAATAAGGAATACGGGTGTGTTTTCCCTGGGAAATATTTGCCTGTTAACTCTCACATTATTTTCACTCATTACATATGATAAAAAAATCTGGTATTTGTGGACACTTGCTTTTTTTGCTAATACCCTTGAAGCTGTGGACCCTCAGAAATTGTGGTCAACAAGCTATTTGGAAACATCTTCACTTTTTGTTTCGCAATGATAGAACTCTCGAGTAGAGTGGCAATCGTGTCATGTTCGGGTCGTGTCATATCGGATTTAAGACACAATCATACAGATCTCTGTGTGTGTGAAAGGGAGAGAGATGCAGTCGTGCAGATGAACAAATTTGCGTGTATGTGTGTGTGAGAGAGAGAGAGGGAGAGGGAGAGAAAGAGAGAGAGACCCTGGTCTTGTTGGTGGTCAGTGAGGGCCTACGAAAGGGAGACGGAGGCGATGGTGACCTACAATGAGGAGGATGGAGAGGAGAGTGAGTAAATGTGGGGTTTGAGATGTGAAATGAATTTAGGGTTAGGGATCCAACAATTAAGTGTATTTATATAGTGTTGGGTTATTTGAGTTGAAAAACGGGTTAAGCGGGTTCGTGTTAACCTGATTAAATACACGGGTTAATTGGGTAAATTTTGAGCAGAGGGGGTTGAACCCGAACACGACCCATTAGTATTTTGTATTGACGGGTCGTGTCATATAACGAGTTCATGACAAAAAATAGTCAACTCAAACCCATTTATTCGTATTGTGCTTATGTCGGGTTATCGTGTCATGTCAAAAATTGTCACCCCTAGGTCTGTTTGACCTTGACCCAGACCCGAGTCATCAACAGTTAGGTTACACGATTCGACCCGAGAATGGATTTGCTTCCTTCCAACCCGTGTTAGTTGAAATATCACCCTTACATTAAATTAAACATTTGGTAGTTAGGTTTAGCTTTGAAGTACTCTGGTTAACATTCAAATTAAACAATTTTTTTTTCTCAAAAGAATTGTTTATGCTGAGTGTTAGTGCTAGGAAAGGGAAAGGAAGATCCAAGCTCCACCTGCATGTGCGAGTGCAACTGAGAAAAGAGTGACTCTGAATTAAGGTCACAAAATTACATCTAGACTCCTTTAAGTTTGTCTTTTAATCATTTAAATCCCTGATATTTAAAATATTATACATAAATCTCGTAAAGTTTGTACGCTTATAACACTTAAACTCTTGCCATCAATGTGCGTTAGTATATATATTAATAAATTATATCTAGACCCCTTAAATTTTATAAGTATATAACCCTTAGACTTCACAAATTTAAAATATTACATTTAGACCAGTTATTGGTTATAGAATTAACAAAATTTATTAAGCAACCAAATTACTCCAATTAAAGATAAAAGATATTGTGTTCAGTACGGTGTGACCGCTTTTTTGATTTTTTAATTTTATTCCAATAGATAATATAATTGTATACTAATTATAATTTTTTTAAGAAAAAAATGAGTTTTTATTTTTGATTTTATTTCAATAAATGATATAATAGAATATGAATTTTGGTTATAAAATTTAAAATATTTGATATTCTATCTCTAATTAAAGTATTTTTTATCGAAGTACAATATTTTAAACTTGAGGTATTTAAATATGTACTTAAAAATTTTGGTGGGTACGAGTATAATTTATTAATCGATAGACTAACGGACATTTTATTGCAGGAATCTTAAGTGATCTATATGTAATATTTAAAATATCAAGATTCTAAGTGATTAAGTAACAAATTTCAAGGGGTCTCAATATAGCCCCTATACTTTGAGGCGCCAATGAAATACCCCTCTACTTTTAAAAATTATAAAACAAGAACATCATAATTTAATAAAAAAATTAAATAAAAAAATAAAATTTCATGCACAAATATGTGAAAAATTATAATATTTTGAACTATATTTTGTCTGAAAATGACAATTATAATTTATAAGATTAATTGCAAAATAACTCTTGTACTTAAGGACGAAAGTAAATGACTCAACTTAACTTTAAACTTTTATACTAAAATTCTTTGAACTTATGACCAAATTGTAAAAATTGATATCTATCACATAACTCGTAAAAATATCAAAATATTATTATTATTTTATTCAATGTTCATATAAATGTCATCACTTAACCTAAAAACCATCTCTACTTCTCCCTCTCCCATTTGGGTATTTTTTTTTCTCTCCATCCCTTCTCCCATACCCAAGTCTCTTTCTTTCCTTTCTCTTTGAATTTTTTTCTACTCTTTCCGTCCAATTCTTTTTTTTTTTTTGAAAAGTTTTCTCCTCCTTTTTATTCCTTCTATATTTATTAATGTGCTTCCTTCACGACTCACTACTCAACTTCCAAGTTGTGTACACATTACCACGCATAACCCATATGTATATCTATTTTGCTACTACCTCCACCTTCTTAGTTTTTTTTTTTGTTTATAATTCATAATAAGAATCAACACCCTTGAAAATTCTACCATTTATATACTTAATTGTTTTCAAGAGAGTCTTTTATTATATAAGTTTATATTTATTTATTGGATGGGGCATTACTCTCGCTCTCTCCCCTTTCCTCTTTCATCTCATTGCAACCGACAATGATGCTTATACATAGCAAGAGTTTCTCAACAGTGAAGATCAAACAACAAAACACGATTATTTGAATAAGCCCAATCTTCTATATACATCTATTTCTAAAATTTGGAAGGTTTTCAAATAGGGATACTTTTTGGAGTAATATTCTTGTTGCCAACAAGCACCAATGTTTGCGATACAAGACATATGCTGATTACTTAAAGGAGTTGAAGTGAAAATTCTCACATCGTGACCCATGACAAAAATTCCTCCTATCAGATTTGCTAATCCCAAAGCTAAAATATTAACTGAAATACCATACAAACACAAATCAATGACCAATATACATACAAACTTTTGGGACTCAAAGTTAACTAGTAGTTGATAAAACAGTATACACTCAACAAACTTGTAACACAAAAGGCAAAAGCAGTCATTTTTCGATAATCCACCAACAAGCCAATTTCATGGACGACACATCTTTCCTACACCAAAAGTAAGTTTCCAAGTTATTTACTGAATCAGTATAATAAATTTAAAGGACAATGAATTGAGGCCTTTAGTTATTGACATAAAACCAAAAGCCAATTTAATCGAATGTTCCTCTATTACTTTGTAGGGTGAAGTTCAAACCAAACAAACTAGATTGCATCTAAGGTGCCTCAATATGGGTTCAGGAGCAAGACAACAACTCTCTTTCCATTGAGATTGAACTTTTGACATATGCAAGAGCTCATTGGGCTTGAGCCAGGCTAACATCCATATCCTTACCTTCAGAGTATAAATGAATGGTAGAAAAAGATCTCTTTGCAATCCACCTTCATAAAGGTTATCTGGTGCACGGTTTGACGTCGCAACAAGGATCTACACTTGAACACACACAGAATCCATGTCATCTTTCAACAGAGCATATACAGGTCAATAGGACAGAGGGATTATAAACACGCAGAATATAGTAAGGTTAAATAACTTAACTGCTCCATTGTTGAATAAATGACCAAATACACAGTTTAGTATTAATGGATCAGCAACATCAGTCACCTATGGAAAACCCTACACTGGGACATAAAAAACCGCACTAGAGCAAACACCAGATAGAATCCATATACAAAAGCAACAAAACTAGGGTGCTAGTCTAAAATACCATGAATTCATCAAGACATAACGAAACTGATTCATCATATGTCTCTCCCACAACAACTTCAAGGGGATCCTGCCACACCCTTGTGTTTTTGCAATAACATAATATTTAACCATTTAAGTTTAATTTCTTCTTCAAGATTAGCATATATCACCTAGTGCTACATAACTCAGCATAATAAGATACAGTTTGGTCCAAAAGGAACTAGACTTAAACACTTGTAGGATTTTAGCTATCTTGACCATGATTCAAAAATTAAGAAATATATATAAAAAAAAAAAGCAATTCATTAAAAGGAAATAAAAAGGATGGATGTTAAAATAAATGCTGCACAACATTCACTCATGGAAAAATATACTAATTTTTACAGCATGACCATTAGATTAAGCAATCCAAGACATCTAACTTACCCATCAAATAGTTTAGTCTATCAAGATACTGGAATTTTTTTCAAGGAATGCGAATAATAGAAATAGTTCCCTTCCAATCACAATAATTTTGTCACAAGCCTAATTTACACTGCAATACAGTTACAAAAAATATAAAAATGGTCATACTTGTTTGTAAGTAGATGTGAACATTCAACATGAAGTCAAGAAAATGGATCCTCTTTTTCCAACAGTTGCAGGGCTTGGAGAAATAAAAACTACACATAATACACAATGAATGGTGATTGCTTTATATACCAGCCACCTAAGAAGCATGATAATTATTTATCAAATACAAGCCAGGAAAACAAATTTTCAAGGACAAGGAATTTACCTGGATTGGAAGAAATTCTTAAAATTCAATATTTTCAGATAACGATATACTTAAACCTATTATTTTCATGAAAATAACCATATGGACAAAAATAGATGTAGGTAACTATTTGATTACCATACCTGGCAAGCATCACCATCCACGAGCTCACTTGCAACAATTATGGGTTCAAAC